CTGCAGATCGGCCGGTGCCGCGCGGAGATGCTGGAGCACGTGCGCCGGACCCACCGGCACCTGTTGGCCGAGGTGACCCAGCAGGTGGAGCGTGAGCTGAAGGGGCTGCACCGGTCGGTGGGCAAGCTGGAGAGCAACCTGGACGACTACGTGCCCAGCGGCGACTCGCAGCGCTGGAAGAGGTCCATCAAGGCCTGCCTGTGCCGCTGCCAGGAGACGGTCGCCAACCTGGAGCGCTGGGTCAAGCGCGAGGTGCACGTGTGGCGGGAGGTCTTCTACCGGCTGGAGCGCTGGGCCGACCGCCTGGAGGCCATGGGCGCCAAGTACCCCGTGGGCAGCGAGCCGGCCCGCCGCACCGTCTCCGTGGGCGTCGGGGGTCCAGAGAACCAGTGCCAAGAGGCTGACCCCTACGACTACAACGTCAGCCCCTACGCCATCACCCCGCCGCCGGCCGGCGAGCTGCCGGGCCAGGAGCCCCTCGACGCCCAGCAGTACCCGCCCTGGGGCCCCGGCGAGGACGGGCAGCCCAGCCCCGGCGTGGACACGCAGATCTTCGAGGACCCGCGTGAGTTCCTGAGTCACCTGGAGGAGTACCTGCGGCAGGTGGGCGGCACGGAGGAGTACTGGCTCTCCCAGATCCAGAACCACATGAACGGGGCGGCCACGAAGTGGTGGGAGTTCAAGCAGGGCTCGGTCCGGAACTGGGCGGAGTTCAAGAAGGAGTTTCTGCAGTACAGCGAGGGCACCCTGTCCCGCGAGGCCATGCAGCGGGAGCTGGACCTGCCGCAGAAGCAGGGCGAGCCCCTTGACCAGTTCCTCTGGCGCAAGCGGGACCTCTACCAGACCCTGTACGTGGACGCAGAAGAGGAGGAGGTCATCCAGTACGTGGTGGGCACCCTGCAGCCCAAGTTCAAGCGCTTCCTGCGACACCCGCTGCCCAAGACCCTGGAGCAGCTCATCCAGAAGGGCCTGGCGGTGCAGGACGGGCTGGAGCAGGGCGCAGAGCCCACTGGGCAGCCGCTGCCCGCCGAGGACCCTGCTGAGGCGCTGACGCCTGCCCTCACCAATGAGTCCGTGGCCAGCGACCGGACTCAGGTGGAGTAAGGAGTGCTGGGCTGGCCCACCTGCCACCTGCAGGGCAGCTGTCCAGGGACTTGCGAGCTGGGCCCTGCCCCTATGGGGAATCCTCCCCAGGTGCCCCCTGGACTTTGGACTGGCATTCATACCGCCCAGCATGGGCACCCCCTTGAGAACAGCACAACACCTCAGGCCAGGGCCCCTGCCCTGATCACACACACACACACACACACACACACACACACACACCTCCCTGTCTTCCTGGTCCCCCCTCCCACACTCTCAGGCCCGTCTGAAGCTCTACTCAGCACCTGCTTCCGGTGCACAAGGGAAGCCCTGCTGCCTTCAGTGCCAGGGCCTCAGGGCCAGGTGTGGGCAGAGCTCACAGGAGACCCAGTGCCCAAGGGAACTTCAGCTTCCAGTGATGCCCTCCACTCAGAGCCACCGCTCCAGGCAGCCAGCCTCACTCCCCGGGGCCATCGGGCCATCCAGGCTCCTTCCCCCTCGGGATGAAGTAGAGAAGGTGGCAGCAGACAGCGTCCTGGCATCTCAGGTGAGCTCCTGCCCATGACACCCCCATCTGAGGACTGGGAGGGCCCAGGCCTCTCCCTGTTGGGTGGTCTTGTGTGGGGAGGGGCGTGGGGGCGGTGTAAGCAGAAGCAGGCTGTTGTACTCCCGCCTCTGACAAACTGCCTTCATTCCCCCAGTGGTGACTCACGTGCCCAGAGAAAGGCCTCTGTGACTCATGGTAGCAGCCGAGGGTCCCCAGGACCTGGGCTCCCACATGCAGCTGAGGAACTCGGAGGAGAGTGATGACAGGTAATGAGCCCCAGCTCTCTATACCCTCCTGACCACGGGGGGCCGGGGGGCTCCCTCCTCAGTCCATCCCACCCCTCAGTCCCTTCCAGTTCTCATTCTGAGCAACCTGAGGGGTGTGGACAGGAACCCTAGGGGCTTCAGCCTCCCCCCGCCAGTCCCCTGCCTTCAGACGACTCTCACTGCCCCCACCAAATATTCAGTTCTGGCACTAGGTCCCCAGATGCCCCTGCTGATGCCCTCCACCCCTGGCTGCATCTCACTGTCCACCCTTCTCCACTCTTTTCCTTAGGTCTAATAAGGCGCCGAGAAGCTGGGCTCTGTGCCTGGACAGCCCTGCCCTCCTCCCTGGCTGCCCCACAGGAGAAGTCCTGAAACAGGACAGGAGAGGTGGCCCCACATCCACCCAGCCCCAGAGCTGGGCATGAAGGTGGCTCAGCTTGAAGGCCAGGGCCCGCCTGGCCCCCGCCTCGCTGGTCACCGCCGGGCCACTCTGAGCGCCTCAGCTGGAGCGGGGTTCATCCCAGAGCCCCTGCTCGCTGCGCTCTGTCCTCCTGCACCCCGAGTCGAGTCCTGAGGCTGGGGCCCAGCCCTGCCCCATGGCCCCAAGCCCAGCCCAGAGATTCCAGAAGCCTTGCTCTTGGGGCCGAGGTTGGCTCTCCTGCAGCTGCCCAGGCTGGGCCCAGAGCCGAGCTCCTCATGTCTGCAGCCCGGGCGGGCACTGTTGGGGTCCCCTTCCGCCTCTCCACTGGGCGTCTCCAGATTCTGGGGACCACTCTGATGACAGCTCTGACAGACCACCATGTGCCCCTGCCAGCCACCCCAGAGTTTATTTTTGCAACTAAGCCATCACCCACATGCAGGCTGGCATGGCCACAGGGAGGCCCAAGAGTGTGGCCACTGTTCCCCCTACTCGTGTACACACACACACACACACACACACACACACACACACACACACACACCAGGCTTCCACTGCAGTCCTGGCGGTGCCCACCCACCGCCTTCCCCAGACAGATTTTTTTTATAACCTTTGTTAATAAAACATGGAAACTGGACTGGCTGCTGTGGCTTTTTCTCAGTCACCTGGGTGGGGACAGGGGGAGAGGCTCTCTGAACATGGGACGAGGGGGGCGGGGCCAGCAGGCACCAAGGACAGGTGCACTGGGGGTGCAGACACTCCTCCCCCATATTCAGGAGGGGGCAGCCACTCTGATTGCCCAGGTCCTGCTCAGTGCCCGCCCCTGCTCAGGGTGGCCAGCAGGTCAGGCTGGCCCCTGACTCTTGCAAAGCCTCCCCTGAGGGTTGAGCAGGGTGGGGTTCCCACACAGGCAGGGCTGGGTGCTGGATTCCCAGACAGGATGCTGCCTGAAGGTCCTGCTGTGACCCTGACCTTGGTCTGTCCGAGCCTGTCTCCTCGTCTGCAAAGCGGGCCAGCAGTCCCTGGCCTTACCCACGCAAGGGTTCAATAACTCAGAAGTGAGGGTGGGGTGAGCCTTGCCCCTCATGGACGCGTGGTAGGAACTCTGCGTGCTCAGTGGGAGAAACAGGAAGGGTTGGTGGCCCCTTCTCAGGGTGCCCACGGAGGGATCATTTCAGAACAGCCTCAGATGTGTGCTGATGACACCAGGCCCACCCACCCACAGATGATGTAGCCTCCAACTTGACTGAAGCCATCTCCCCACCTGCTCACAGTTCCGCCCTTTGATGAGGGGCAGCTGGGTGGCGCTGGCCTGCTGGGAGTCCCACCCAGGGCCTGACCCCCTTGTCCCAGCTGCCATCTGGGAGGGTGAGTCAAAGGATGCTGAGGGGGCCGGGAGGACACCCCACAAAGGACACCCCTGGCTGGCAGTGTGGCGCTCCATGGGGGGAAGCCCCCCTTCAGATTCCCCCCAGCTTTCACACTGTGGGGACCAGGGGGACAGCAGCAGCTCTCCCAGAGAGGCACCCTGAGTGCCCCAACTGTGGGATATATGGATCCTGCCAACTATTTGAGCTCCAGCTTTGTGTCTGGACCTCTCTCTACCTCTGCCCTCCCCGCCTCCCCCAGCCATACTGAGCACCAGCAGGAAAGCTGTGCCCTGTGGGGGAAGCCAAGGGAGGCACGCAGCCCGAGGGAGGGGGCCACCCAATGGCCGGGGCAGTGTGGTGGGAAGCTGCGGGTCCAGGGGTGGGTGGTGGTGGGCTCTGTTCCCGGTCTGATGCCGGCTAACTGTGAGGCCTGGAGCGTGCCGAACAGCACCACTCTCGATGAAAGCAGGACCTCCGCAGGCAAGGGGCTGCCCTGAAAGGGCCCTCGGGGAGCTTCCAGCTGTCCCCCAAGGCTGGGGTCTCCAGGGTCCCAAGAGCACCAGGGCTGGGGTCCCCATCACCTCTGCAGGTGAAGGACCAGGAGGCAGGACTTGAGAATGCACGAGTCAGTACGAGGCTGCGCTGCTGTCACAAACACAAACACCCAGAACTGCTCCACATGGTCGCATCCCCCCCCCCCATCCCACCCAGGCTGTGGTGTTGGCGCTGGGCTCTGCAGGGGGGTACCTGGCGAGGATGTGTCTGCAATCACATGACCACACCTGCCTGCAGGTGGGCTGGGGGCACTTGGGACGAAAGGAGACAGCCCACGGGGAGAAGGCCATCCCGGAAATGGCTGGGGTGGCCTGCCTATCGTCCTGGCCAGCAAAGATGGACCAGGGCACATTTGGTGGCCAAGTTCCCTCAACCCCAGGAGGACTCAGGACGCCAGGTGAGCCAAACGCACAGCTGTCCTGGGCAGAGCACATCTGTGCTTTCTGCTGGCAGCAGACAGAGCCAAGGGGCCCCAGGTGCAGCTGGTCAGCACTGGCTGGGCAGCTGGCCTGATGCTCACTGGCTGCAGCCTGCCCGCCACTCACCTGCAGAATGTGGAGGTCGTCCGCGTCTGTGACCAGGCCACCTTGGAGGCCCCCTGGGCAGTCCCCATGGGCACCAGGGTGGCTGCAGGTCCACAGAGGGGCTGGTTCGGGGCTAGGGTCTCGATGTGGGAGAGCAGGGGAGGCTGCTCTGTTTGAAGGCAGGGGCTCTTGACTGATTCCCAGTATCCATCCGTCCAGCTGCAGCACCCACACCTGCTCCATCTTCCGGGCACCTCCTCTGAACACCTTCTCCCTCTGGGCAACTGGGAAGGCTCTGTTGCTGGGGGTCCAGCAAGGGACCACAGGAGGCACCTCACTCCCTGACCCCCAGGCCAGCGACCCAACCCAGTAGCTGGTCAGATCACCCGCTGCATGCAGCTCCTGGCCCCTCACTGACCTCCAAGGCCAGGCCCAGGCCGTCACCAGCCTCCCTCTGTGCTTCCTCTCTGGTGCCCCCCACCCCCACCCGGTGAGCCATCTGGGGCTCTGTGAGACTGGGGGAGCTCCCAGCCTGCGCCCTACTTCAAGGAGGAGGCCAGGCAGCGCCACCCTTTGTGTTCAGAGCCAGGCCCAGGGCATCTTCTTCCCCAGTTGAACTGGCCGCTCTTGGTGCACTTGGGGAAACTGAGGCCGGGGAGGCCATCCATCCTCAGGAGAGCAGCACCTGATTCTCTCACTGGGCCACTCCTCCTCCTCAAGGGACCTACTGCCGTCTGGGCACTTGTGTGCAGCAGACTGACCCCCCCCACCCCCAGCCACGGAGGTCAGTGAGCCATCCACACAGAGTGACCGTGGAGGCTTCGGGAAACAGGCCATCAGGTCTTTGCTCCCAGGCACCCCGGCTATGAGTGGCCTTGAAGCTACGGCCTCAGTCTCTGAGTGTTTAACTGATTTCTCTGCCCAGGGACACCCCCCACCCATAGATTCCCTGCTCAGTCAGGTGACTTCAGCCCAGAGCAGCCCTGGAGAGAGGCCTCATAGGGGCTCCAAGGGGGTCAGTCTCAGGAAGCAGTCGGCTCGACTCTGTCCCGAGGACACTCTGGGGGCCAGGAGCCCGGTGCTCTCACCACGGCGTCACCAGAGCTCCCAGCCCCTGCAGGTGTGGGCTCATGGGTAAAGCCCAGACTCGCTGCCCCCCGTCTGGTGATTCTGGCTCCCAGTGACCCACAGAAACCCACACGGCCCTGCGGTTTCTGAGCCTGCAACTCTCGACGGGAGTGGAGAGCCACATCTTTCTCCTGTGAAGCGGCTGGTGGTTTTGAACTGCTGACCTTGTGGTTAGCAGCCCAATAGGTAACCACTACAGCACCAGGGCTCCTGCTGGTTATGTATGTATGTATGTATGTATGTATATATGTGTATATGTGGGTAGGTAGATACAGATAGAGAGTGCCCATATACAGAGTATATATGTGTATGTATATGTGTGTGTGTAGGGAGCGAGGGAGAGAGACAAGGAGAGAGGGAGGGAGAGAGAATGAGTCATGGTTGCAGCAGTACAGTGACAGGGAGCTGCCAGAAACCCAAGCCAGACTCAGGAGAGTACACAGAACAAGTGATGTCGTTGGGACGTCAGCTGGATCTTGGCTGGAAGCAAGAATGCCAGGGAAATGTCACTCTGGGTTTTGGTGACTCTGCAAAGGCGTTTGACTGTGGGGATCATCACACGCTGGAAGCAGCCTCCTGAAGCGTTGGGGGTGGGGGGTCTCCAGAGCATCGGGGCGTGCAGCTGGGGGCCCTGCATGCAGAGCTGGAGGCAGTTGTCTGAGTGGAACAAGGAGACCCTGCCTGATTGGCAATCAGGAAAGATGTGCTGCGCATTGCCTCCTTTCACCACGGCTATTCAGTCTGTGCGCTAAGCTGACCGTCGGAGAAGCCAGGTGACATAAGGACGGGGGAAGTCTTGTGCACAATCTGCAACATAGGCTTGCCTGCAGAAAGTCAGGGGGACGGGGAGCATTTGCTGGTGAGCATCAGACTGCCGCCTTCAGGGTGGGTTACAGGGCAGCGTGAGGAAAACAAAAATCCTCACAGCCAATAGGCACCATCATGCTCGAGAGAGAAGAGGTCCTCCGACCTCGCTGTCAGTGGCCCAACACGGAACCCATCACCCCCTGGGCTCCTGACGCTGCCAAGGGTTCCGTTTCACCGCGGTCGCCAATCAGCACCCAGTAACGGCAGCAGTGAGGACATCAAACTCAACTCTCCCTCCAGTTTCTGTCTCTCCAGACTTACCGATGCGGATTTCATGCGAAAAATACCCCCCCAACAGCATAAAACCAAATAACAAAAGAGAAAAACCTCAGTAAAAAAGAAAGTAGAAAATGCTAAAAACTAGAACAAATTTAGAGATGGGTCAGAAGGTTGAATATAAGATAAGGTGTTGGACTTTAAGCTAACTCCCTGGGAAAGCTGATCCGCTGTCTAATAGCAAGACCGCTCACATCGCTCATCAGTGGTCAGAGGGGCTTCATGGGGGGTTTCATCCAGGGGACCCCGAGTTTGGGGCTTTTGTTGTCCTTCATAGCTTTCTACAAACTCGGCATTTAATCTTTGTCTGGTCTTCGATCTTATGACTTACAATCCTTGGATCACACAGGCTGCTGTGCTTCTTCCGGGAGGGTGAGACTCCCTCTCATATGCTTTCCCATGCCATCAGGAGGGACACTTCCCTGGAGAAGGTGCTTGGTAAAATAGGGGGTCTTCAAAATGAGGAAGACCCTTGACACGATGGATCAACGCAGCGGCGACAATAGTGGGCTCAGGGGAGCCGGTGTCTGTGAGGACACGCTGGGACCCAGCAGGGGTTCATTCCCTGTGCACAAGGTCGCTGTGGGGTGGAACTTGACCGTCAGTTCCGCTCTCTACCTTGACCGCATCTGGCCCTGCAGATGCCCTTGGAAGCCATAGCTGTCCCTGGATCTCTTTTGAAGATGCCAGACAGACCAGTCCAGGGCCGAGGGAAGACCGCAGGAGCATGTCTGCTGCCGACCACCGAGACAGGCGCACAGGTGTCTCCTGTAGAATGAGCCTGTGTCTGCCTGTGCCCGGAGCCCCAGCAGCCTTCTCCCTTCTCTGTGTGTGCGCCGCACATGTGTGTGTGTGTGTGTGTGTGTGCTCACTGCTACACAGTCTGTCCTGACTGATAGTGATCCTGCAGGACAGAG